CCCATTTGTTGGCCTCAAATATGTTCCTACTTTTCTTCATACAGCTTATAGCTTAACGAGTACATGTGCTAATAYGGTGTTGTATGTTGTTTACCAGACCGGTTAGAAACTTACAATAGTGCCACTCACATTGCTGTGTACCACAGAGGAAGATTCTTTAAGCTTGAATGCTACTTTAGAGGATACCTTCTCAAACCTGCTGAYTTAGAGAGGTGCTATTTACTTTATATTATGCCATCAAATTTTTTCTTCAACCAGTATTGATTTTAATGACCCAGCTTTTGGGCCCATGACCCCATCATTAGGGTAAAATGAAGCAATCATGGACAACGTGTATCTTAAACAACAAGCAAACTTCAAGGGTTCACGCATGACAACAAATTATATACAGTATATTATTTAATATATTAATAAGTGATACTGCTTCTGTAAGATTGCCTTGCACCACTGTGGTTGTGGGTTAGCCTCCTCCTCAAGACAACTCTTATATTTTGGARTTCCTGTGGCAAACAAAAGTCTCTAGTCCATCTCCTTTCCCTTTGCCCCACAGGAAGCCCATTTCACCAAAATCCCATCTCTGATCCGAAGTGATYCGATCCGAARTGATCCGATCCGAAATGATCCGATCYGAAGTGATCCGATCTGAAGTGAGGGAGTAGCCTGTGGAGGAGGCTAGTTGTGGGTTTGATTCTTGGACTTAACTTATCTGAGTAGAGCTGCTTACTCAGAGCCTTTCCTCTAAGTAGTTTTTTCTCCTGGTCTTCAATTCCATCTTAGCTACAAGAACAATAGTCCCTTTCACAGTTCCTGTGCCATCTTAAAAGGTAGCCTTGTCTTTGCATAGAAGCGAGACGAACGGTGAGAGAGACCTTTTTTAACACCTTGGACAATAATTCACAGGTCTCTATCATTGCAAGCTCACCATTTGTCTCACCTTGATGCAAAGGCATTGCTACCTTTCAAGATGGTACAGGGAACCGTGAAGAAGACTATTATTTATTTCTATAAACAATATATTAGATAAATTCCTATTCCTTCTGAATTCATTCTATGCTATTTATTATTCAGGCAAATTGAAAAAATTCTTAATGACAACTCAGAGCCATTGCCAGGCGAAGAACTTCTGCCAGCATTGACTGGAGCTAACAGGTAAAAATATCAATAATGCGTATGGCTTGGGCTTTGTACATATGCTTTTATTGGTTCAAACTGTGCTCCCTCAGGAAAACGAAGCACGGTGAGAAYGTCATCTATGAGCGCTTCCTCATAGAAGTGTAGGAAACATCATTGAAAACTGCAATGAAAGGTTTTTTTCCTGTGTGATAAAAGAAATATATAAGATCTCTTCTTTTTTTCACATCCCATTTACCCACAAGTTTGTCATTTTYTAGGACTGTTTGGGCTGAAGCCAGAGAAAAATATCTAAGAGAAGGAGTCAATAAAACTTCTTTAGATGTCATTGAAAAGGTAAGTCAAAAGGACTAATTTTTAAAAAATTTTATCACTGGCTTAATGTATGCGAACAAGCAATGGTTTGRAGTTTAGAAAGGCGTACAGCTGTATTGTAACTATGAGGGGCACATGAAGACATGTTCACAGTAAGAATTGATTTCACGAACCTTGTCAGGTGTTAWACAAAGCACTTGGTTGGATAAGCATTGATGGTGTCTATTTGTCTCAACTCTGTACAAGAAGACTGTAACTCTTTTAAGATAAAATGAGAAAAGACTGATGGTCTTCGTTTAGCATCATTTTTACTTTTAAATGAAYGGATTTTTTAAAGTTTATTTTTCTTTTTATGGGATATAAACATAAGCTAAAAGACTTTGATTTGTTTTTTTTATATAGGCGGCATTTGTACTTTTCCTGAATGAAGAAGAGATGGATTATTCAGAGGTATGTAACTGTTTTACCTACAGGGAGCCTGATCTACATAAATCTTTTAGRTAAAAGTAAAATCTCTGGGAACGTTTTTTATTAAAACACAGATGGTGTGCRAAAAAATGCAAGTGAACTGAGAAAATCAAGCAAATATTCTGGTTATGAAAATAAGAGCACAGTATTTTGAATTTTAAACAGTTTCCGTATAAATATATGTCACATTTGAATAAAAGTTACGAAGCCTCTACATGCTTGGAAAGGGGTGATATCAGAGCTATACAAGAAAGAGTCTGGTTTGCTGGTCAGTCTTTAACTCATCCTGGGGTTTAGTAGYGGTGTTGGGGCTGAAATCTCAAGCAAGAGCATAAATTCAATAGGGCGTTTCAGCAATCTTCTTTCAGTGTATTAATTTAAAATGGCCAAGAGGAATCATGTTGTTTCTGGTAGATTTTTCAACCACAAYTGGCCACCCTTTACATTGTTTTTAGTCCCACCAGACTCACGTAGCGCGTTCCCCACCACTGAATTAGCTAGCGAGTAAGCAAGTGTGACTCAGTGCACATGATATGAAATCTAGGATGACTATTAACGCRATTTGCCATTTGGCTTGGTACCATCCTGATCTATACTGTTTGTTTTTCCCCCCAGGAGAGTTCAGATAACCTCGATAGATTTGCTCACCATACTATCCATGGTAATGGCCATAACATTTGGTTTGACAAGTCCTTCTCTTTGATGGTGTTTAAGAATGGACGGGTAAGCTATCATAATCCAAAACCAGGCAAGCGATAATGCAGTTTATTTGTAAGAAATGATGTACAGCTTCCTTAATTTCCCCTCAATTGTATTCTTTTCAATTTCATTTACTAGTAAAACACATAGATTTTGAAAGAATAAGTAAAAAAGAGAGTAAGGCATGGCAAGATTTACTAGAAGGGTCTATGAAGACATGATTTTTTAAAGAGTATTTTTCTATTGTCTATTTTCTAGATTGGGTTCAACTTTGAACACTCATGGTTAGTATATTGTTTTATGTATGCACAAAGAATTTAGTTTTCTTTCATTCAATCTTGCCTTCATAATTCTTTTTATTTCATTAACTTTCTTTTCTYTTATTTCTTCTTAATTTATTGATTTCTCTTACTCTTCTTTTTTCATCTTTCTTTTCCTTTTCCATCCCATCCCATCCATCCTTATTTCTTTTTTCTTCTCTTTATTACTCTATTCATGATGACGACTTAATTTAATACAGGGCCGATGCACCCATTTGCTCTCACATGGCCGAATGTATTGTCACAGATGATGTTAAATACTTAGGGTAAGTAGAGTTATATTACCACCACCACCATAACCATAAACATCACCATCATTATTACATAATCATGATTATGATCTTCCTTACTTTATGGTCATTATTAGAATTAATTTATTTACTACTCTTGAGGTTATAGCTTGGCTTTAGCATTGTCAMGGGTTCGAATCCCACCTGGAGCTCAGAAAAAAWTTTTTGGTCRAGAAAGATATGCTTGAAGAAACACAAATCGCATTTTTAATAATTTATCCGAGCGGCAAAAACACTTTTAATACTGACTTAAATGGCTTTAGCATTATCACCATACAGCTACATTATAACACAATTTTTTCTCGTGCCATGATCGGAGTATCCCATTTGTGTTTTCGTTGCGTACATACTAACCTAMCTAGAAAATACAAATGACAAGTCAGTGATAGAATTCTGTGCTGTGTGTTAAAAAAGAATTGCACAACCTCTATCCAGTCARTAGCATTGACTAATTTTACTGCCAATGATTTGATGACTGTATGTACAGCAACCATCCCAGTTTTCTCGGCTTGGCCTTTCAACTTGAAATTGCTAAGGACTCTTGGATTTCATTGCACTGTCAAGAAATCATGACCAATTCTTAGTTTCTTAATTCATCATTTTTATATTTATAGTTATAAGGAAAATGGGCACTGCAAGGGTGAACCTTTGTTCGAAAATCTTCCAAATCCGGCAAGATTAGAGTGGGATATACCTCCCCAGGTAAGTGCATGACTACTAACCTTGTTTWAAAAAAAGTGAATGTGAAAATAAAAGAGATTTCTACTCTTTTTTTCAGTGTGTGGACGTAATTGAAGAATGCCAGCGCAAATCTAAACTACTCATTTCTGACTTGGATATTCACATTAAAGTTTTCAACGAGTTTGGTGAGTATTAAATATTTGTGTGATAATTGAAAAGTAATATGAAAAGTGTGTTATAGATATTTTGACAGACTGCTCCCTTCCCTTATTTGTTGTGACCATTCTTCTCGTGAAATGACCTTTTTTTCCCTCGGAAACAGGAAAAGGAGTGATGAAGAAATGCAAAGTCAGGTACAAATTGCTTTTACTATTAATCACTTGACTTTTTAGAGTTGACTGGGAGCAATTAATATGCAACTAGCGAATGTTTAGTCAAAACATGTGAAGATAAGTCCTCAATCATACTCCTTCTGCTTGTTCCTGAAACCAGAAATCAATTGAAGATACAAATGCAACCATGAAGATCTTCCAAGCTTGCGAATTTTAATTCCGCCCAGTCAAAACACAGATATTACCGGAATTGATGTCTATTGAATCATGTATTAAAGAAAGATAGAGTAGTCAGGAGTAAAAATAATGCACTATTTGGATGCATTTTAACTTTGCTGTTTTTGTTGTGTCTAGCCCTGATGCCTTTATCCAGATGGCTTTACAACTGGCTTATTACAAGGTTAATATTAAATGTGTAATTCTTCCCTTTGTACATGTATGATAACAAGAAAACACTGCCCCTCCTACTGAGAAAGAACATCTGCATTCAATCAAATTTCGTGTCATTCTGATTTCTGCCATTCTGCCATGCAGCACCTCTTTTATTAACGAAAAATGCATGATATCGGAACTATCATATAAATGGGCTTTAATGCAGAACAAACCTTCCTAAACTAATCAGCTAGGAAATCTGTGCAGATTCTGTGGATAGGCAAAAGAGATAGCAAGAAAGAAAAACARGAATCTGTCGGAACGATTCAGAAAMATTTATAGTGAAGCAGAAACAATAAGAGGAAATTACTAGACCAATTATTGTAGACCTGTATTGAACATCAATCATGTATTCATCTAATTTGTCTTTGTTCTTCTTCAGGATCAAGGACGAGTTGACCTGACTTATGAATCATCTATGACCCGACTCTTCAGGTTAGTMTACTTTTACTGCATCACACATTTTTTAAAGAATCTTTATTTATCAACACCTCTGCAATCTATTTTAGATATGCAATTAATCCTTCGTCTTKCTGGGAACAATATCTTTCTCACCCAACTAATAATTATTATGCGTTTAAGACAATTCCAGCAGAAGATTAGGCCCGGTTCATACGTCGAACTTTTCATGCGCCRAACCAAATGTTAAGAATTAAGATCATGAAAAGTACGACGTCTGAACCAATTTTATTTCATACGTACTAAGATTTATCCACGATAAAAAGCCCGCGTAAAATTCGTACCAAATATGCATTCAACCAATCAGAAAAGAGAACGACTATTTTTCACTCTCSTTCGTCCAATCAGAAGCGTGAACGATTGTGCTTCATTTTGGCATCCGAAATATCAATCAAAAGATACTCAGCGAGCCAAGGGAGCACGGCAGACATAAATTTGTTGATTAGTCTTCCTGTGGTAGTGACGTATGCTGACGAATACGGTTATCCGCGAAAAATAGCGTGGGCTCAAGTAAATATCAAAGATGGCGGAGAATGGYGGTATATATAATATTGACGGGGAATGCAACTTTTTCAAACTTTTCGACAATGCTACGTCAGGTTGCCAGGGCCACTTGGGTTGCCAGGGCCAGTTAATGAGCTAAATTATTGCTAATGTATGCGTCCAGGTCGACTCGGTCAATGGGTATTTCATCTATTTGCTCTTTGGTTTTACGAAACTTCAACAGTTTGTTCGCCGCAAGTTCACATCTTGGTGAATTTTGGGACTTCAAAGTGAAATTGATTAGCGATCTTTCAGGCTGATAATACTGTAGCTTCAAAAACTCCTCAAATCCACAATTTCGAAAACGATTTCATCACACAGCAGAAGGATAAGTCACTCTGATAACTCTGTAAGTTCTAGATACAATTTTCAAAAAGTATTTAGTGTAAATATGCAATTCCAGTAAATATTTGAATCCTTGAAAGCGAAATAATTTAAATTGTTGATTAATCGACCTCGTACTTTTAGTGCTTCATTGTTTTTTTTTTTTGTTTTGTTTTGTTTTGTTTTTTTGTATTTACATCCTGTTCTTTGCCTTTATAGCTTTATACTAAGGCTGTTAATAATTGCCAGACGAATATCGTTTATACATGTATTAAAATCTACTTTTRWAATTGTAATTGAAGKAATTTTTATTCGCCAAAAGACAAAGGCTTGCTGTTGCCTTTTACGCTAGAATAAAATCAAGTTTTTACGACTGACAAGACGATTAAAATTCTATCATTAGTAACCAACACACGGAAATCCTTTTTACGGCCTCTTTATTTGCTTTGAAGGCAATAATTATTCCGTGTTTGGATTTTTTCGGTAGCAATGCCAAAAAATGAATGTAAATTGACTTCCTTTCTTTCTCTCCTCTTTTATAATTTCCTTCAATTAAAAAGTTTTGAAGGCCTGCATTTCATATCATATAAAACACACTAAATCCAATACTAACTGAAGAAAAAGCCTTTGTTTGACTGACCCAGACAAAGCATCATTAAAAGAAAAAAAGCAACAAAATTAAGAAAACAAAGTAAAGACATTTTGGTTTCCGGTACGCAAATGTTTTAAATAAATTATCTTCCAGGCTGTTTTAATTGCTAATTTATGCTAATGCTAGSCTTTYACGATAAACAGCTGGCCAAAAACACCGTGATGAGCATGCYACAAAGTACGTTGGTAATTTCCTGATGCTGATTGGCCGATACCCGGTCACATGATCCTAGTTTCACTCCCCGTCATTTATATTTATCATCCGCCATATTGTTTACGTATGAGCCCGCGCGACTTTTAAGTAACCGCATRCGCGTCTATACCACAGGAGGACCAATCAATGAAATTATGTACCACAGGAAGACTAATCAACAAATTTATATCTGCCGTGCTCCCTTGAGCGAGCGCGAGTTTGCACWTGAATGACAAACATGGCGGAGGAAATACCGAGATTTGCACTCTTAGAAGGAACGGTAGACGACTTTATCTATGAACAAGAAAACAAAAACACACAAGCTAAGACCAACAGAGATGTAAAATTGCTTDAAGTATTTCTTCAATCCAAGAAAGAGCACAGGGAAGTTGAAAACATTCCTCCAGCTGAGCTCAATGAGTTGCTGAGCGAGTTCATACTTACCGTTCGTACAGTAGAGGGAAARWATTATGAGCCAACGTCCCTCCGAGGCATGATTGCTAGCTTTGAAAGATTTTTAAAGCGCAAAAACTACCAAGTCAGTATTATCAACGATTTGGCATTTGAAAAAACCCGTAARACCCTGCAGTCTAAGCAAAAAGAGCTAAAGAAACGAGGCAAAGGTAATAAGCCAAATGCATCAGGGGCATTGACAGAAGATGAGATGAAAGTCCTMTATGAAAAAGGTCTCCTTGGAATTYCAAGTCCTGAGGCGCTTCTTAACTCTCTTTGGCTGAAAAATACTCTTCATTTCGGACTTCGTGGGATTCAGGAACATCACAGTATGTGCTGGGGCGATGTGACTTTGAACAAAACAGCGGGTGGCGTCGAGTAYCTAGAATACAACGAAAGGCAAACGAAAACACGTACCGGCGCAAACGCAACTGATGTCAGGCCGTTTCCACCAAAAATGTTCGCCACGGATGRCAGTGAAAAAGATCCCGTCAAAGTTTACAAACTGTTTGCACAGAAAAGGACCGGTAATACGAAAGAACGAGACWGTCCTTTTTATTTGGCCGTAAATAACGTTAAARTCAGAAGCGCTTCCTCAAGCAAACTTTGGTTCAAAAGCAACAAGGTGGGTGTAAACTGGGCGGGTTGATGAAAGAGATGGCAGAAAAAGCTGGCATAGAAAATCCTAAACTTAGAAATCATAGTGGAAGAAAAACTATGGTTCAAACATTAAGCGACAACGGAGTTCCACCGGCCCATATAGCACAGCTTTCCGGCCACAGAAATCTAAAAAGTATAGAAAATTACAGTTCGCTTTCTACAAAACGACAACAATCCATGTCGAATATGCTGGCAAATATATCCAACGAAAAAGTTTTGAGCCTGCCAAACGCAACTTCCGTCCAAAATCCAATTGAAAATGCTGGATTTAGTTCCCTAGCACAGCCTCAGCAATCTAGCAGCAATACAGGTCAACAGTCAGTAGCATTATTTAGTAGAGCCGTTATCCAAGGAGGACAGTTTTCAATCACAATAAACACTCTGAATCAATCGCCAACCATACCATCCCAAGAAATCCGTCCACAGAAAAGAATTCGTGTATTATATAGCAGTTCTGATGAAGATTAAATTGAACAAATTGAATTGTAAATTGATTCTACTTTGTGTCTGTTATTTTTACATCAAGATTTAAGCTAGCTTTTAGTCTGTTGTAAACAAGTTTTCACTTGAAGCTCGTATATAGACTTCATTTTCAAACTTGAGAAATTATAATTTCAAGGACACTTCATAAATAAATTAAATTTATCTATATTTATCTATTTATTTATGTATAAATATTTACTTTATTTCATTTGTTTGCTTCATTCGTTTTTCTAATTAAATTGTTAAACAGAAATTTTCGTATTTTTTGCATRATGTCAGTGTGTGTTATTGCWCTCGAATGGCTTCCTRCCTGCGGCGCGGCCGTAGATGCACGTACATAAAAACCCAGAAAATCTTAGTATGTATGAAATAAAAAAATTACACCACGGAAAGTGCCTGAACGATTTTTATTCACTCGTTGCTCCCATCGAACTGTAGATGGTTACTTATTGCAACAGKGTTTAGTTCCCCGTCAAGATAGCCTTTGCAAGGTTCACATGCACATTGATACTTTATTTTATGTTACAGAGAAGGTCGTACAGAGACCGTAAGAGCTTGCACTAAAGAATCAACCATCTTCGCAAAAGCAATGATGGATCCTAAGAAGACGGTGAGTAGTCTGGCTCCCAACTAAGTGTGTGTTGGGGGGGATAGCATCTATGAAGCGGTCTGACTTTTAAACTTACCTTCGTTTGCCCTTACACCTCATATAGAAAGATAAATTTAGAAAAGTCTGGGGTAATACCCTGAAACAGCCTCTTGCCTAATCAAAGTAGGGGCACGCCTAATTCACATATCGAATTGGAATATGAGTGAGTTAAATTTGCTGGGGGAAGAAAGCCGGACAACCTAAAAATAAAATCAACACTCTAATTAAGAGATCGACATGGCGAAMTTTACTCACGTGTGATGCGAAGTCCCCAGAGGYGAAAGGCAAGTGCACTACCGTTACACCACCCTTGAATTACCACTTTATGTATTGTATATCGAAACCAGTCAGCCTAAAGAAAAGCATGGTAAACTGTTCTTTTCGCACCACTCCATGGTCATGATTTTCCATGTGAAAAAAAATATTGATGCCTGACCGTCCACAGCATGCTGTAGGGATTTTATCATATTGTGATTATCTTACGAGAAGCAAGAAAAATGCCTTGTAACAGTTTTTGATGAAAGATGTGGTTTTTTTTAAAAATATTATATATATATATATATTTTTTCACTTGATAAAATAGAAAAGCGAGAGGAAAGAACTTTTTCAGAAGGCAGTGGATCGACATGTTTTGGGGTTCAGACAAGCAATGGAGGGTAAAGGTGAGAACTTTCTGACGTGCAGTTAAATGGTCGATGAATTCATAATTACTGTCATCTTATCCAGTAATAATGATAATGTACATTATTTTTAATGGTGTTTCAGGAATTGACCGTCATTTGTTCTGTTTGTATGTGGTGTCCAAGTATCTTGAAGTTGATTCTCCATTTCTGAATGAGGTAGGTAGTAATTCCCGTCTCTTCCAGCCTTCCTCCCCCCCTCTGCCTCCAATCTATTTTATAGACAGCACACGCAATATGTATCAATAGAACTAATATTAAATCGTTAATTGCAGTTTGTCAAGTAACGCTATTCTTTATCCTTTTCAGGCTCTGAGTGCTTCATGGAGGCTGTCGACTAGTCAGGTACGTAAAAAATAGCGAATGCAAGAATACTTAAGTGAAAGGGCAAACGAAATTAAATAACTAAAAATACTGGAAATATCAGTAAGGGAAGAGAGGGAAGGGTGGGGAAAAAGTAATAATTTTTTTTTTAAAGGACATACCAAAATATCAATGCTTTTTACAAAGAAAAAATTATAATTAAAAAGTGAAGTATAAATAGGATATACATGTACAGATGAAGACAGTCCAATGTTCAGTGAAAGARAACGAAAATTTTATAGCTGCATGTTTGTCTTGATTGTAGACCCCAACGAACCAGACCAAGAGACTAGACTTGAGTAAGAACCCAGAACTGTCAACTGCTGGCGGAGGCTTTGGGCCTGTGAGTATTCACTAAGAAAACATATCAACGCATCRTGATATTTTACTTTTCAATTACAYCAACTATCCCATTGCGTCTCCAGAAAGTTGTGTCTAGTTTCTGGGTCAAAGCAAAACATTGCCAATTTTATCGCAATGAATAAATAAAGAATCATCGCAATACCTTTCCATTTCAGACCTTGCGTTCGTTTAAGAATCGTTTCTTTATTTCCCAGTTCATAGGCTTGTCGATATTATGGACAAAGCATGGGTCAACTGAGGTCTATTAGTTCGTCTCACWGCTATCATATGTAAATGCCATCCATTTGTTATTCCACACAGGTTGCTGATGATGGTTACGGTATATCTTACATCATCGGTGGAGAACATCTCTTGTTCTTCCATGTGGCTTGCAAGAAAACTGCGCCAAATACCGTAAGTAATGTGTATAATAAAACAATAACAGTTGTAAGGGAATTAGATCCAAATAAASGCTGAAGAATGAATAGTAACAGAAAATTCGCAAATCCTGCTTTATTTACACGAAATATTTATTTTTTATCGTTACGTTACGAAACGTAAAGTCTTGAGATAAAAWTTTTTTMTTTTTCTTTTCTGATTTGAYTTATTTTAAGTTCACAGTGAGGACACTCGAACCTCGATCACTTCGAGTTTTTTCCAGGCTCTTGTTTCCTGAAAATTCTACTGTTTCAAACCTTTTAACATAAGGCACTGATATCATATGCTGTACACCRAGTGATCAAAATGAATCTCATTTCCAATCGATTGGTTCAAGGGATAATYAATAGTACATTTTTGTGGCTASTGCCTCGTAAAGGCGGAGCCACTGTGTCATCGARTTATGTAAGGCCGTAACACCACAGGAAGCCCAAAAATTCTCAATCCATAAACTTCGGAAAATAAAGTTGTTCTCCTATCGAATTATTGCTTTTTCAAATAATATCTTACAACACACACAAACAAATAAAACAAAACATACATTTCCCGTTACTAATGTTAATTTAAGCCCTAAAATTCATAAAATCAATATCAACATTTCGTTGCTTTAACCTTTACTTTTAACATTTACGTTTTTTTCACCAACACCGCTAATTCAATTACCTATATATCCTTCATATATCTCAATAGAGAGCTACCAACTTCCTACATTCCTTTCCTATATAACAATGATTTCTTATGGCAGTAGCCACATGCGCTTATTGAGCCCCTATTTTTATACTTTACAACAACTCGAAGTGTTTACGGTTCAAGTGTCCTCACTGTAACACATCTAGCCCACCTCCCATACCTCACATTATGTTTGTAACATCTTACTTAGAATGCAAAGAGATTTGGAAACACGATTGCTGAAAGCTTGAAGGAGATACGCGATCTTTTTGTTTGAAATCGAACAGAAACAAGATTTATGGGAAGTGAATGGGAAAAAAGTAAAGGCCAATTAAACGACGTTATCTTGCCACAGCAAAGGACCTGTTTACTTGCCYTTATGATCAAAAGTCTCACAATAATTTGAGATGTGTCATTGAAGGTATACAAATAACTATAATTAACATATTTTGATAAATATATATTGTCTACCTGTTCTACTATTTACATTTACGGYACGGACAGCTACTAGATTTCAAATCGAGTCTAGTCTTGGTTTGTGGCTTCCGTCGATTAAATTAGCACACTGTCTGAGTGATTTTTTGATCGGCGGAAGTTAAAAATCCCGACGTTCTTGGGCTGAGTTGGAGTTGGTCGCGGCCATAATTATGGGAATGAGTGTAATGTTATTCATGCATTTCGATCGTAATCAGAAAATATTCATAGATTCTTCGTAATTGCTACAGTATTTAGCTTTTTTAATCACCAGAGACGCAGGCATAGAGTGTAATTGTATATGAGTGGAAAATTGATGCTCGTGTATCAAGAAACGGAGTGAACCAAACACTACAAGCGAATTGACCACTCATTTTGCGCTTTTATAAGTTGCGCTTGCGTCGCTGGCAAGAACCAGGTTTTACAAACAATAAACTTGCGTGGATTAAGTCTGCTCASTTAGACAAAGGTAAATAATGAAGTAAGGGAGTGCTCTCAGTCTATGTGGTAAACCCAGCCTAAATCAGATATAGATTTTATGTGATATTGTGCTCCTTGATCTGTTGCAAGAGCCTTTCAGCTCAGGAGTTAAGTGATCATAAAATTGCTGATGTCAAGGCAAGGCTGTCGAGAAAATGTAAAGTTATAATTTTATTTTATTTTTTTGGTTTAAGTCATTGTAATAAAGCAAAAAGACTATTTAACAATTTAGGTAGTGTGAAAATTGCGCATCCAATAATTATACAGCTGAAGGGAAATGACTTGCATAAAATACTTYAAAATAACTTTTGCGAAAGTATATTAGCTGTGTTTGAAGATAATTATCCAATAAACAATACACTCAATTGCAAAATCATTGTCGGGTTTAAAACAGAGCATAGCTGAGACCGAAAGGTATTCTGCGAAATGGCGGTTATCCTCTGAAGTTTTTCATTTAAAATAAACATTCAATATGAAACGTGTTTAAAGCCTCAATGACTCTCGTCGGTGCAACAATTTATAAACATTCCAGGAGTTGTATGACTGCTACATTAAATTAACGTGTATCCCATGTACCATATCGGTCTCAGCTTCTATGTTCTCTGTTTTTGTACCCGGTAATGATTTTACGATTGAGCCGGTGTATGTTGTATATTGTGCTTCCGGTTTTTGCAAAACGCAGTCCCAGGGTCCGGTTGCATGAAGGTTTCTAAAAAAAAAAAGAACGGGTTCTCATATCTAAAGAGAGCTTTATGCCACCAGACCCCAGGTTACGAAATGGGAAGTGTAAGTTACCTGAGTACTATAAATCGAACGCTTGTGAATTATATTAGTAGAGTGAAGTCATTAAACGCGTAAAATAGATATTAGACTAATACACGTTAGTAGACCATAATTCCATTGTTTTCTTTTGTGTCTATTCTTATACTAAACATTTTATTTCGCGGGTTAAATGCCTTCATTCTAATAAGGTTTGATATCGTGTAATGAGATATATGTTTTGCAATAAATAATCAGTGATGAGTGTGTATAAGCCTTCCATTGTCTTGTTTTGTGTCTATAATAACTATTACAAGTTGAGCAACCATCGATTTTTGGATGCACGCTAATCAATCAATCAGAGTGCGCGTTATATCGTGGCCATGTTATAAAACTAGATAACGCACAACTAAACATTAGCCCGCGTTGCCAAGGCAACACCGCTTTCCTTATACTTGAGCCCGCTGAAAGGTAAGGCGACCACCTCACGCAACTCCATTGTATTACTATTAACCAATCAGCGGATAATTTGACAACCTGTCATTTAATTTGATTTTTTACAAATCCCTAGAAAAAGGGATGCATAAGAAAGTAGTTGAGTCGTTGTTAACTTAAAACTTAGCAAGCACCCAAAAGTCTCTACCGAGTGTCTCTCACACAATATACTGATTAGAGCATCAACTAAAGAGAACTGCTTCATGGAGTAATAGTAGAATGGGAGAGAGATACTGATCACTGCGGTACATCATACTCAAAACCACTAAAGAGCCCCAACCTAAAACACCCGAGAAGCCCCAGCCTTAAAAGGCCAACCTTGGATTTCCAAGTAAAGATAAAACGGTGGAAGTAATCAACTTTAATCTATAGTTACTATTGTGAGCATTTTCTAGAGGAAATTGGCTTATTTGGCAGTGTATATATCAGAAGTTTGACTGTGGCAGCCCATCTTTGGTTTTTTGAATGACGTGTTCATAGATTCGTGGCTCAAACGCTGGCTTATAGCAGCTGAGGCTGTAACTTCGGGCTTTAGAAGTAATATAATTGAGCGGCAAAAGAAGATTTCTAGGATTGTAATTCACATATTTATTATTAGTATTATTACAGCTACTCAGTCGGCAGTATTTTGGTTTCAATCGCGTGGGTTAGTACGGCTTGCAGTCTTTATTCTGCTCGGCGGCCCCTGCAAGTACCATAGATAAATGTTGCAAGTCTTTCGCGCGCCATGACGCTGGAGCAAACCGGATGACAAAAAGTGCTTYCAACTCACTGCCTCACAAGCCCAAGCAAACGCTCCAAGAACGTATAGTTCGAAATTTCTCCTCCTGCTCTCTCCTTTATTTTAATGATAATGAGGGAGAGGGCAATCTTTGCAAAAAAAAAAAAAAAAAACTCGGCAAATCAGCCTCAGATTGAGCTCAAACTTTACAATCACTAACTAAAACACAACAGGTTTGTTAGCATATTGCTATTTAGTGCTACCCTCAGTAAATAAAGAGTTTATTATTATTATTATAATAAACAAACATATCAAAATTTTGTTAAAATACGATTTAACAAGCCTTTCATTAATTTTGTTTTGTTATAGCAGACGAACCACATAGGCATTTACGGTAAATGGTAAAAAAATATTGCTTGGACTGCCTGTGAGTACGTGATGAGATACGTATACGTATGCGAAACATGTTCGTTGATTAGCCAATTGGTTTTGCTTGTATATCAAAGCGAAATCACCTGTTTCCTCCCTGTCACTTAACAAAATTAATTCTTTCGGTTTCGTNGGGGGGGGGGGGGGGGGGGGGGGGGGGTAGTGGTCACCGACTTGGACGGCTCAAGTTATGAAAGATCGTAATAGGGGGTAATTCCATTTATTCGCACCGGATTTTGTTCCAAATATACGCCACTCAGGGTTTTGTATGGAAAGGATTTCAACAATCAAAAAGCCTAGACTGATCTAAACGACGGATCTTAAGTTTATCTAGCATTTCAAGTTATACAATTTATTTGATGAGTTGCTGAAAAAATCTTCAAACTGGAAGCAAAATCGTACGCAATTCGACACCTCAAAATAAGTTCCTTGTTATGAATATGTCGAGAATTTGGTGTGATCCACAGCGATGGCCATAGCATTTTTATTTCTCACATTGAAAGATTAATATAATTCCAAGCTTTGAATGCAAAGAAAAAAATATGGGGTCACCGTACTAATAATGAAGTAAAGAGCTATAAGCGACTAAATCTGATTTTTCTCCAAAATCACCATTCCTGTCCGCGCTGACCTGGGTTCTTGTACTTTAGACCCTAAAGCCTACTTTGAATTGGTTTTGGAACTAAAGAAGTCAAAATAACTTTTTTTTCTCATTCATTTTTATAAGTCGGTCAATTTTGGTCAATTTTGAAACAAAACCGACCAGGTCAGGCAATAAGAATCTTAGGGCAAGTTTCGAAAAACCTCCCAAACTTACCTCAAAATTTGCATGAAATTACAAAATCTTTTGTCAGATTATAGAACGGCAATCAAAGTAAGATATTATTGGAGAAATTTTGACAATAATGCTAAATAAACGGTATGAACGAGATGCGCGAAATGGATGCGCAGTAGCAAAGGTCCGGATCTACGTTAAGTCTTTTGTCATTCCGTAGTTCGTGATGTCATCCATAAGAAATCGTACTCAAGCTTCTTCTTCATAATAAATTTTCTCAGGTAGGTATATTAACATATTGTAAGAAAATTCTCTTCATATTTAGTGGTTTCTTTGAGAAACTGGACCTGCAAATACGTCACATCTAAATTTATATGGCTGGTTACCAGAAATCCATTGCTTGATGCGTGACATTCGTGACGTAATTCCAAGAATCATTCACGTGGAAGAGAAAGAAGGCACGAAGGCCTGCCTGGTAAAACGCACTGCACAGAATACTTGAATGTTTAATTCACGTTATGTATATAGACCTAAAGTTAAATCTATAAAACTGGTCCAACATTATAAGCAATCTTCCTTATTCAATGATGGAGTGGATTCAAGCACGCTGTCACAGTTGCACGCAAATTAAGAAAAGAAAACGGTAGACTTCATGGCGGGAAATTCGGTAAGTATGAAATATTGATAAATCAGCTTATGTGTGGCCTGTGAACAGCTCTAGTTCTATCATGTCTTCGAAATAAAGATTGTTAGATAGGGAGTCATTCATATTGAGATTTGTCATGGACATAGCTAAACTTTAATAGACTTTGATATGACACAGAAGAATGCTGTTTTCGAGCCCAGCAGGAGCGAGAAAAATACACATTCATAGATAAAAATATCCGGCGATAATACATAACTAGCAGTGTAATAAATTGCTTATTGTTTGACACGAATTGCTTAAGGTTATATTTCCGAATAAAGTTCAGTCATTTCAGTATCGTTCCAGATCCTCCCCAGGTTCTCTCCACTATTAAATATCTGCTCACTCGAGCACTAATTGCTTTTAAGCTGTGCAGCTTCTCATTAATCCCATATAGGTAAATATAGGTCTTGTTGATATGGGATTAATTAGGCAGCTATATAATTAATAGGTAATGGGATTTCATGCTCTTTTACAATTCAGTTTTGAAATGTTCGCCTTTTCTAAAGAGAACACAACATTGACTATATTCTGCCAACTTAAGGCTGTTGCAAGCTGTAGAAATGGAAATATAGAGAATTCAGTGTAAGCTCCACAATAAGCCTGAAGTGAGATGACCTTTTACCCCCGTCTCTAGACCATAATCTTTTTCACATTGCTTTTGTTATTTAATTATGACTATTGTTCCTGTATTCTCTAAGAAATCAAAAATTTTAATATGAAAGAATTTTAAAAGCTATTATGGTATAGAGTCAGGGGTAAAACGTCATCTCGCTTCAGGCTTATTCCTAATGCATTTCTTTTATTTTGCACTCAGACTCAATCACATTAGATTCAACACCAAAAAACAGAAAATGAAAATAATARGGATAGCTTTGCATTAAAATACCTATTTCTCAATGCTATCTAATGTCTGCTATCTGATGGATAAATCTTATCCTGTGCATAAATTTATTGGATAACACTATTGACTTATATCCACTGGATAAGGATTCATACTTCGGGAGAGCCAATGTAGCAAGCAGTTGATGTAATGTATTCATAAAAATGCAATGAATCACGACAACAACAACAATAACCTTTATTTTACTCATAGGGAGAAGGATATTACATAAAAACATTTTAGTACTAGAAATTTATTTACAGTCATGCAAGATATATTATATATATTTATATTTATATTTACAAAGAAAAGAAAAATAGATACTAGAATTAGTTCTTGAGCCTGAGGGAATTAAATTAACCATAAGTTTTCTAGTTAACCCCCAGCCATTTTATGTTGTTAATTTAAAAACAAGGAATGATAAATAAGGGAAAGAATATAAAATATGACATCTAAAATTACACTTACTAGTTATAGATATATTATATATACACCTAATTGAAAAAAATGTAGTCGGGTTTGAGAAGGCCATATCATCGAAGCTAAGACCGAAAAGGATTTTGGGTACCCCGAAATGTGTATCATATTTTGCATATAGACACATAACAATGCACAGTAGTTCACAAAGTCGGTCTGCCTAGATTAACAACATGCCAAAGCCATGATGCATAAAATGTGCACAGGAAAGGAAAACTGCAATATGCATGAAATTAGCATAATTGTTTGTCTTCCTATGCTCCCCTTCGGTCATAGCTTTGATGATATAGACTTTTTTTGAACACAACGTTTTTTCAGTTAGGTGTACATGTATATAATATAATCATATATATATTTTTAAGAGAGAGAGAGAGAGAGAGAAAACATATGAGAGAAATAATGAATATATCGTATATGCATTCAAAAATTGGTATATATTTGTATAAATATACTACTATTGTTATTATGTACTGTTTAATAAACTCGCAGGTGTGTTTTATCAGGATTTTTAGACCTGATAAAAACATGATCTGTGAGTTTATTGAACGGCTTAAGAAACTGATGGTGCATGTTCTCATATTATACTGAATTCTTTACGAAATGAACCAAGTTTGATAGAGAAAATCTAAGTTAAAGTTTATGCAAATGAAGACAAATCTATATCGGATATAACCTCCTTCATTATCATGATTTCTATTGTTTCCTTCATGAATTATTAATGAGTTTTTTAAATTGTTATTTTTATTATATATTATACATTAGTAATTATATAGAGAGGAAAAAGATGTAGGTCTTTTTTAAAGAAAAATTTTTTTGATGAAGTGGTGAACAAATGCAATAGATAGAATGACAATAGAACACAACAGATTTTCTGAACACATTACATCAACTGAGTGCTACATGTTGGTTCCTTCTGTAACGTTGTGCCTTTTTCTTTTATTCTCTTATCATCTCAACATGCACAAAACCAGTCGACTCACTCACAGACACACTAGCCTCATGCTCTGTGTTACATTTTGTCCCCCACTAGGGGAGGGGTACRTCAGTCGCTACACAACTCCACTCTCTAAGAAGCACTGTCTCAGTGCGGAAAATTACAAACATGTCAACAAAACTAATGGTTGCATCAGTTGCATAAAAGTTCAAGTCTATAACTAATCAATCACAGTTCAGAGTCTAACAGTTAACATCGTTTTGTCTTTTCGAACGTTTTTTCCCCCTTTACTCGACTTTCTTCTGTTTGGGCACTGGTCATCATGCCACACAAGTTGTGCACGGTCTCATGTACTGTAGATGTAATTTACTCTGCAAATCAAAATTGTTCAACTTTCCTGATAACAAGTAGGTTCCGTACATGTAACTTTAATTGACCTGTTAATGTTTACTGTGTCTTGAACTCTCCAAGTTATGTCTAGTCCAATCACCAAATCTGTTTGGAGCTCTTATTGTTCTTTTCGGCCTTTTTCTTTCATCCTGTTCCTTGTCTTTCTTCTCTTTTTGATCTCTTTGCTGCTCTCTGAGATCTTTCTCTTCTTCAGTTGCCTTTGGGTTTTTATTTACCTTTCCTTTCTTCCCTTCCTCTTTTCTTTCATCCTCCTTTCCTTTCTTACATTCATCTTTTCTTTCATCCTCCTTTCCTCTCTTATATTCATCCTTTCTTTCATCCTTCTTTCATCCTTCTTTCCTCCCTTTTCTTCCTCTTTTCTTTCATCCTTCTTTCCTCTCTTTCCTTCCTTGGCTAGCCAACTTTTCAATGATGGACCAAGGTATGGCTTGAGACGATCCACGTGGACTACCTTAGGCTTAGACTTTGCTGTCTTTTTAATCCTGTAGACCACATCCAACAGTGCRGCCACTACCAAAAAGGGTCCTTCCCAGGGACAGTCCAGCTTGGTGCTTCTGCCCTTTTTCCTTCAAATGTTATGTAAACCAAACACTTTCACCTACCTGGAGTCCTCTTCAGGCAAGCTTCTTGTCATAATTCCTTTTCTGTCTGGTTGCTGCTTGTTTCAGATGTTGTTGTACATTGTCAAACGATTCAGCTAATCTTCTTGTAAGTGCCTCTGCGTACTCACCAGGTATTGGTGGTGCATCTGGAGTATTCTCTGTGATTACACCTAGAGGTACTTTCACTTCGCGACCTAGCATCAGCTGATTTGGAGTGCAGCCTGTACTGYCATGTACTGCTGAACGGTATGCCATCATGCACATAGGAAGTTGGAGATCACAGTCTTTTTGGTGTTGTTGTAGTTTGCCGTGAAGCATCTTGATTAGGGTGCRATTAAATCTCTCCACCTGTCTGTCAGATTGAGGATGTAATGAGGTAGTTCTTGTCTTTTCAATGTAATCTGTGTAACATTTTGTCCCCCACTAGGGGAGGGGTACGTCAGTCACTACACTTCATTCTTCTGATAGAACTATCTATACTATCCTACAACCCAGCCCAGATGGTTTTCATCTCTCTTTCAAATTCCACACTGTATCACAAGTTCTGAACATGTCACCAAGTTCTGAAAAAATGATTTTGTGATGTTATCACTTTGATACTTTATTTTACCACTCTTTTCATTGCTACGAGCGGATTGAGAAAACAGTCGCAACAGGGAAATTGGGCAATACACTTCCGTCAATCAAATTGGTAGGTACCTTCATATTCTCTGATTGGTGGCACTGTATTGCCCTAAATGTATTTCCCTTTTGCGACTGTTGTCTCGATCAGCAAGTAGCAATGAAAAGAGTGATAAAATTTGAAAAAAAGAAAAAGACAAAAAATGAAAATGAGAATGGCCAGGCCTTGTTGCTCTTTCTCATACAAATCCTTCTAACTTTTAAGCACTGTATCTTGTCAGGTATTTGTGCTAGAACACTGAAATTTTGCTCAGCTACAAATATATTACTATGATCTTTCACTGGTTATTATGACTCCAGGAATGCAGTRTAAAGACATCCTCATATTCTAATGGCTTTTTGCATAGGGTCTATTAGCCTTTGCCTGTTACCCTTTATTAGGGTAGCACTCTTAAAATAACCCAGGGCTAATTAAATGAACACGTGGCCCACTAAAATCCCTATTTCTTCTTTCTTTCTTTCTTTCTTTCTTTCTTTCTTTCTTTCTTTCTTTCTTTCTTTCTTTCTTCCTTCCTTCCTTCTTCGTTCTTTTTTAGTTTTAAATTATTGTGAATCACTTGAGAGATGTTTCTATTGATCCCTCATTTGCTCATTCATGCTTTCATTTATTCACTTCATTTATTGTTTGTTTGTTTGTTTGTTTCTTTTGTTTTGCAGTGAGGTTAGGGACACCACAAGAGTATAGCCAATTATTGTGGGCCCTGTAGTGTTAGCATGGGCACTGAAGGTGGTATCACCATATCACTAGCGCCTTTACTTTTACTGGGTCTTTTATGTTTGCCTTATACAGGGTTATATAGTGAAGACACTAGCACTATTTTATTTAAATGCTAAAATATTGTATTTAGATTATAAATAAGATTTCATTTGTAATTAAACTTTAAAATCTAACCAGGTTTTTTTCACAGCCTAATAGGTTTTACATCCCACTTGATTAGGCTTACCAATAGCCTGATTTAGGATTTAGAATTTGATTTCTGCAGAGGTAGAAATATCCTAAACTGAAAGGGTGGTTTGAAAACTCAGTTAACCTTCCCTGCCACTTTCTTTATGGCCWTGTTGATGTCATGTTTAAAATTCTTATTTGTTACATCCCTTTTCAATCTGTTTGATGATTTGTTATAGGAACTCTTAAAATGGCCACCAGTGGTCACAAAGAGGACTTGTGAGTGGTGTAGTAGTCCATGTTGGATGAAGGATGAATTCCCTCGGCTGTGCCAGCACCCTTGGTCACAGTGGCCAGCAGATCTCCTGCTGGACCTGCARCACTGTGAGGATTGTGTGTTGGAATATCACAGGATAAGGGATGACTTTGTTAGAAATGATCCCCAGAAGAAGAAGGTACTTATAGATYGTTTATTTATGGTCATCAGATGGTTCTTAGGGAAAGAAATAAAAGGTACAAGTAAGAAAGGAAAAAAGTAAGGAATGAATAAACTAACAAACACAAACGAAGAACAGAAATATGAAAGAAGAAAGAAGAAAGGAATGACAGAAAAAGGGAATGAAAAAAAAAAAAAGAAAAGAAAGAAGGAAGGAAAAAGAAAGGAATGAATAAACCAGTAAAGGGAATCTAAATGCATAGAAATGAAATAAGAAATGAATTTTTAAAAAAGGGAAGAGAGGAAAGAAAAGAAAGGAGGGAAAGAAAGAAAAATGTTTTGCGTATACACTAAATCTTTTTTTTTTCTAAAAGAATTTATGGGAAGGAGATGTTCAGAGGTTAACTTTATTCATCATGCAAGCCTTATGGCCTTCTCACAATGAAGAGGAAGAAGAAGGAAATAAAACTACATTAGAGGTTTGTTACTTACTGTTAAGTATCCAGTATGTAGCCATATCATACAATATGATTATTGAAAAATAGAAAAGCTGTAGTCCTAGTAATGCTTAATTCTAGATACATTCTTAATGCATTATGGAACCCTGAAACAACGTCCAGCCTGATGTAAGTGAGGTCACATCTAATGCATAGATTAAACCTTGCAATAACCTCTGGGCTGATGTAAGTCAGGGGGTGCCTAACTCACTGATCAAATCCTGAAACAACCTGGGTTGATCTAAGTCATGGCACAGCAAACTCACAGAAAATGTTTTAGCCATCATGGGTTTTGTGAAAAAGAGAAAAATAGAGAACCCTTAGTTCCATACATGAATAGTTATTCATAAAAATGTGTTATATTTTTAAAGTTACTCATCATGTTATGCTAAAAATACAGCTATTGGACAACTTTGAAAAAACACAACTCGACATGGACAATGTAGCACAGAATCTGAACGTTCCTCTACTAGAGATTTTACAGTTCCCTCAGTTACTCTTCAATACTGGTCTGGCTGAGCTGTTTTTAAATGCCATAACAATATTACTAGACAATGGTACTCCTCTCATCCTGTCTGAGAAGTACCCTGGAATCTATGTGTTACTTGTACATCCATCACAAAAGGTATGAGAACAAAAGACTCTCTCTGAGAAGCATTCAGACAGACATATGTACTAATTTTACACCCATCACAACGTCCCTCCC